TTGAACTCTAATAATTATAAATAACAATAAATATAAATAAACATGAATTAAATGAATATTTACTATAAAAGTTAATTTAACATTTTTGTTTTGATGATGTGGACATTTTACATGGAGAGATAACTCCCTAATCCCTTATATATTAATTGGAGAGCAATTTCCTGAAAAGAACTTATGTGTCCTCACCAAATTCATTCTCACAATTTTAATGTGACATGGTATTGTCAAAAATATGACATGACATTCACACTAAACTCTTCAAAAAATCTCTTCAAAAAATCGTGAAGACCAAACCAAACATCTTCAATTGACTCCAAAAAAAATCGGAGCAAATCAAACCTCTTCAATTGATTAATTTTTCTTAATTAAAATCGTGATAAATATATTTATCATACTTAAATATATTTATCATACTTAAACCAAACTTGAATTAAAATCAGATTAATATATTTAACTCCAAAAAAATCGGAGCAAACCAAACCTCTTCAATTGATTAATTTTCCTTAATCAAAATCGTGATAAATATATTTATCATACTTAAATATATTTATCATACTTAAACCAAACTTGAATTAAAATCGGATAAATATATTTAACTCCAAAAAAATCGGAGCAATAAAATATAGAGGCAATTATAAGAAGATTAACAATAATTAGATTTTACCAAAAGAATTCTCAACAACACAAAAAAAAAATAATACAAATAGTCCTTTAAATTATAAAATTTAAAATTCTTCGTCAATGGTATTTAAGAATATTCAAACAAATATTCGAAATTTATYCATCATTAATTCAAAAGTTTTAAGTATGGAAATCTTCAATTCAAATTCTAAAATATCGGCCAAAATCATTTATTACCCCAATTTCACAAGTACAATAAAATCTAGCCAATATAACATGACATTCAAACCAAACTCTTCAAAAAATGGGCCCAATATTCACAAAAATATTACGCATATAACCAAACCTCTTTATATTAGTCCAAATCAATTATTATCAATTATTAACCAAACCTCTTAAAAAAATCGGCCAATATTCACAAAAATATTCTTCATATAATCAAACCTATTTATACTAGCCCAAAATTTTAGAACACATTTTCATATAAATAAATTTTTACTGAAATTTATGAAAAAAATTAACAAGTTTTTTAAAGAGATTTGATTATGTTTTATGACAAAAATTTTCAAGTTTAGAAAAACAAAATATACGTATTTAAGGGATTCAATCTTTTTGACTTTTGATAATCGATTGTGCACTC